GGGAAGGCCCAAAATAAGGATGCCTACCAGTGTTGTTTCCGCCTGGTTTCGAACCAGGGACCTTTCGCGTGTTAGGCGAACGTGATAACCACTACACTACGGAAACCTGTGTGTTATGTCTAGATTTTTTAATGGTAAAGGACAGTTCTTTTTTTTTTTATTGCTAAGTGTTAGCCCAGTATATGGGTGTTATCACTGTTTGATATCTATTCATACTTCAGCCCTATAAACTGTGTTAAAACCTGTTTAATTATCATAGACACATTGGAAGACTGAATTGCTTATAACTACTAATATCTCCATTTTTCATTTCATGAAACCCCAATGAATTAGACAGCTTTTGCTTCTGTGAGGGTTACTTAAGAGTTCTTCAGATTTCAGAAGTGATTTCAGTAAACTAAAACTTTGTCCTAGAACATGAAATACTGGTCAAGTGGTTCCTAAAGGCAGCTGACAGACAAAGTAATGATCCCATTATGATAAATTTATTTAGCACACAATTACAGCAGAAGCATTTAAACAAAAACCTTTATTTAAAATTTTACAAAATGTAGCAGTGTGTTTACTTTGGATATTAGTATCTCCTATGGAGTGCTGATATAATTGTCCTGTTTTAAGTAACTGAAGATTGAATAATTGAAAAATCTATGAAAAGTGAAAGCATTAGTCCCTCAGTTGTATCTGGCTCTTTGCGTCCCCATGGACTGTAGCCCACCAGGCTCTTCCATGAAACGCTCTAAGCAGGAATACTGAGTGTGTTGCCATCTTCCTGACCCAGGGATCAAACCCGGGTCTCTTGCATTGCAGGCAGATTCTTTACCATCTGAGCCACAGGCCATCCTGAAAATCTACAAATAGATTTAAAAGTAGTAATTTTTTTTTTCTCTTTGTGCTTCAGCAAAGAATAAAATCACAGGTGGTTCTTTTCAAAGCAAGGATTTCTTTCCCCTATGGAACTAATACTGTATAAAATAAGTTAGATTACCACAACAGGCGAATAGAAATTTCTCACAGCTCCCAGAAGAGACCTGAACTGCCTTTTCAAAGTGCTTTTCTCCTGGGCATTTGCAGAGATGTAGGGCAAGTCTTAAAACCATATAAAACCCTCAGAATCCAAAGATCTTCACAGGGTGCTGTGCCTAAGACCACTGCAGCTTCCTGCAGGAAGGCAATGGGTGCTCTGGCCCGGGGATACTGGGAGAGCCATCCTGGAGCCGCATCAGGCACAAATGTGTTCCTAGTGTCCAGGACTCACCTCTCCTCTAGTCCTGACTATCAGTTTGGAAGCAGTTGGGTAACCTGTGCCCATTCACCCATTGTAGGTTTAGAGAGTGCGCATCTCACATCTATCCAATACCTGAATCTTTCTTTTCTACTTCTTCCTATTTTAGAATCAGTGAAGAATTTCTTTTCACATTCCAGCCACTTAGAGGCTGCTGAGCCAAGGTAAGAGTCCCTTCTCAGAACATCACTTTTTGTTGTAGGACTCAGTCTAATGATTATCTCCTCTCTGATACATTTACCAAGCATTTCTGTATGTTCATTTCTGTCTCACATGTATGACAGAATATGTATCTATGTCACATTTCTTAAAATGTGGGCTCATCTCTAATAGCTTGTGCAATAATGAAATTTCAGCTCTGTTTCAGGTTCATACGGCACAGTGATGTTTAAATATTAAACATTTAATTCTGTTGTCACACTTCTTCTATCCACTCTCAATCTCCAGCAATCAGTCAGGGTGATAATCTCATCTTCTGAGCTCTAAGTACAGCCAGATATGCAGTGAGCACATTCCTCCTACTACGTTTGAGGGGCATCTCTTGATATTGGGTTAGAAAGAAAAACCCCAGGCTCTGATCCCAATCTGCAGTTTCTTATTGTGCCTTCTGACAGCAATGTGCTTCTGCATCTTCCTGGCAATTCATTTGTGATGGTGGTTACAAAAACTGCTGTTGTCTTGACAGGGAAGGAGGTTATGCTTCTATCATATCTGAATTACTTGGATCCTACCCTTGTACAGAATCCATACAAAGTTAAGTGAAAGTGTACACACAGCAGGCACAAGAATGGAGAGAAGAAGCTAAAATGCTTGATTCTGGATCATTGGTAAAGGTCTCAAATGAGGGGGTAAGAAGTTTGAGTACACCGCAGTGGAGCAGAAACTACCATGAGTGTAAAGGTCCACAAAGTTTATGGTGAAATAATACATTGAAAATGCATGTGGTCAAGTCCTCCTCTTCATGTGAAATAATTACTGCTTGCACCCTTCATTTAGTGGATGAGAAATAAGGAAATATGTTGTCGTTGTTGAGCTTCCTCTAGGAGTGCAAAGTTACTCATATGACTTGTGAACAAGTATGTCTAAATATGTTTGTCTTCTTTTCTTTAATAAATATTGTAACTGGGGTGATTTTTCTTTTCTTTGTGTGTGTCTTTGTTAGCTAGGAAGGTGTATTCCAACTGGTGTTTTAATCTCTGATTTGGCAACTCTGATCCAACCAAATCCATGCCCCCCATAACAAAAACCAGGGTGGAATGTGAGGATGTTATCAGCTGCTGAAAACATTCAATGATTACATATTGTCTATAATATAGAATAACTCTTAAATACCTTAATATTTCATATGAAGGAATCTACAATCTGGTCCTTAACACTATCTCTTCCTCTCTTTCCCCACGCCCTTTCTCTCTCTCTTCTACCTCCCCTTTCTTTTTCTGTTTCTATTCATTTATTAACTTATAATTTTCCCACTCACAGAGGAAGTAGGTCTTAATGAGATGCTTCCCTGAAAATGTCAGGCTATTTCATATCTCTTTGCCTTTGTTCACTCTGATTCATCTGCCTAAAATATCTCTAACTTATTTTTATTGTCAAACTTATCTTTATTGTAATGATTTTCTCTTCTCTGATACATTTACCAAGCATTTCTATATATTCATTTCTGTTTCATATGAGTAATTGAACAGGCATCTCTGTCACATTTGTAGAAATCTGGGCTCATCTTTAAAAGCCTGTGCCAATAATGAAATTTCAGTACAATTAGAGACTATTTCCTAAAATTATCAGACATTTTAAATATTTAAGAAGTGGTGTTGAGTGCAAAATCTGGTATTCCTGATCTGTATGTGAGACAGTGTTGTGGTTGAGGCTGTGTTTTTGTAGTCAGACAGACGATGGCTTCACTGTAATTCGGGTTTCATCACTTTCAAACTTGGAAATGTTACTTAATCAGTCTGAAGTATCCTCTGTGAAATTAGAATAACAGTGCCTCATTCATTTGTTTTGTAGATTAAGTGGCATATTTGAAAGATACTTAGCAAGTTTCCCAGTACCTAGTAATAACTGATAAATTATTACTAGAGAAAATTCTGGACTTATTGTTCAGGCTTCATGTTAAAACTCATCAGAACAAAACCCTAACAGATTCTAGCCCATTGCCATCTCTTCAACTATGAGAAATGTGTCTGTAAACACCAAAGTTTTTCCCATTATGGTAAATGGCATCACTTCCATATAGTAAGCCATATACCTGAAATTCCTCCTTGATTTCTCTCTTCTCTTTCCTCCCATATTTACTCCATCAATTACCATTAAAGATGCTTTGAAAATATATCTGGAGTCCACTCACTTCCGTGAAACAAGGTTTTCAAGGTCACCGTCACCTTTGAGTAACCACCTGCAATCTCACAACTCCCACTCTTGCTCCCACCGTCTTTTGCAATGTCAGCGTGATCTTTCTGAGCGTGAGTCATACTGCGCTCCTGTTCAGCTTTAAGCCTTTCACTTGCTTCTCAGGGTATTTAGACCACTCTGCAGAGCCCGTATTATGACCTGTGGGGTCTTACACGTGTTGGCCCTGCTCGCCCTTTCCCCCCTCTTCCTCCATTCCTTCTGCATCCATCACAGCCGGCATGCCTCATCTCAGGGCAGCTCTCTCCCCCCTCACTCTTCAGAGGCCTGGGGCTCTGGCATCCTTCTCTGTGTAAATGTCACCTCCTCAGAGGTCAGAGAGACCTTCCCCCATCACACGAGGATCATTTCTTTAACCTTCATAGAAAATGTCTCAAATTTTATTATGTATTATAATATTTCTTATTGTTTGCTAATTTTAAAAAATCTCCTCCAAGAGACTCTCACCTCTACCCCCAAGGACTTCAATCTCCCTAAGAGGAAGCTCATGTCTGCTGACTACTCTGCTTGGCCCACAACAGTCACTCTCCTCACTCCTGTGAGCCCATCCTTATCTTTTAAGGCCCTGAGATGCAGGAGGAGCCCTTTCACACTTACTGTCATTTAGAGTTTATATACAATTTTATTTACATTGTTTCATTTGGGTTTTGATCCACATTGACATAAGCTAAATGAATATTAATATTTGCATTTGCAGAAGAGGAAATTGGGTTTCGGAGATGATAAGATTTTTTTTTTTTTTTAAAGATTTTAAGATCCATATAGCAATTGACGACTGAGGTCCAGGTTTTTAATACTGGAAAGCCTAGCTCTCCCCACCTCACCTTCTCATGTACCTCGCAGACAACGACAGGTTTCACTCTGTCTCTATGGATAGCACAGGGGAGAAGTGTTGTAAAGGCCGAACTTCCAGCGCTCTGGGTGGGTGGTCGGCCAGGAAAGCCAGGTGTATCCTTCACAGTTGGCCATGGTAATATGAAACATGGTCGTTTGATATAGTTTAATTTGGATGTGCTTGTGAAAGACAGTGTAGGGTCATAGATAGAGCATGCTGTTTAGACTTAGACTTGAACTAAGTAACTAGGTAACTGCCTTGCTGCCAGTGGGAATGTGGTAAGTTACTAATACTTCTCCCAAACTCAATTTCTTCATTACTAAGATGTATAAAAAGGCTATGTGAGAATCAAATTACATTGTGTATGTAATGTACCCAGTGTATGATCTAACATATAATGCACTATTAAAAAATGATATCTGTTACTGTTGTTACTAGTTAAAGAAGGCAAAAGATGGAAGGTTCTAACTGGACCATGGAGTCTGACCAGTAACTTTTTCTCCCAGGAGAGTTAAGCCCTGTGTCTCCAATATGGAAGTGGAGAACCAGACACGGGTCACCAGGTTCATCCTGGTGGGGTTCCCTGGGAGCTGGGGCATGCGTGCAGCAGTGTTCCTCATGTTCCTCGTGGCCTATATTCTGACAGTGACTGAAAATGTGACCATCATCCTGTTGGTGCAGCAGAACCGGCCACTGCACAAGCCCATGTACTTCTTCCTGGCCAACTTGTCCTTCCTGGAGACCTGGTACATCTCTGTGACTGTACCCAAGCTGCTGTTTAGTTTTTGGTCCGTGAGCAATGGCATCTCCTTCGCTCACTGTATGATACAACTTTACTTCTTCATTGCACTCATGTGTACGGAATGCGTGCTCCTGGCCGCCATGGCCTACGACCGTTACGTAGCCATCTGCTGCCCACTGCACTACCCCACCATTATGAGCCACGGGCTCTGTTTCCGCCTGGCTCTTGGCTCCTGGACCATTGGCTTTGGCATCTCCTTGGCTAAGACCTACTTCATCTCTCGCCTCAGCTTCTGTGGCCCCAATGTCATCAACCACTTCTTCTGCGACATCTCTCCCGTACTTAACCTCTCCTGCACAGACATGTCCACAGCTGAGCTGGTGGACTTTGTCCTGGCACTGGTCATCTTCCTCCTCCCTCTCACTGTCACTATCCTGTCTTATGGATGCATCCTGGCCACCGTTCTACGCATGCCCACAGGCAAGCAGAAGGCGTTTTCTACTTGTGCCTCCCACCTCGTGGTGGTCACCATCTTCTACTCAGCTACGATTTTCATGTATGCCCGGCCCCGAGCCATTCACGCCTTCAACATGAACAAAGTTATTTCCATCTTCTATGCCATTGTCACCCCTGCCCTCAACCCTTTCATTTATTGTCTAAGGAACCGAGAGGTCAAAGAGGCGCTGAAGAAGCTGGCTTATTGCCAGGCCAGATCTGACTAGTCTGTTACAAATGACTAGAAGAAGTAATTTGATTTGGAGCCTGCTCTTCAACCCCCATCCTTCCTCCTTTAATGCCTCAGCTGGATATTAACATATTACTCATGTTAATGTGACCTCACCACCTCCACGTTAACCATCAGCTCTTGGTTGTGTCCTGAGATCTCCGTGCCTGTGGTCTGTGTTTTAAGGGCATGCCCTTTGAACAGCCAGTGCTCTTTGACTGTGACCCAAAACAGGGTTTCTAAGATTGTGAGTAAATTCCTGAGTTGAGTGGGAGAGAGAGATGGCTGCATATGAATTAGCTGTTTTAGGATCTAGCAAGCACTGTACTCTCTGGGGAATCAGATTTGGTGACGGCTTTCTGACTTCTCAGCTTCCTGACTGAGACAGAGGTAGCTGCTGTTTTAATAATCCCATTCTGAATTTGATGCCAGGAGTCAATCTTGGTGGCAAAGACTAGAGGAACAGTCTCCAGCCTCTTTCAACACTTGTTGTTAACACCCATTTCTCTGCATTAAATACTCTTCTGCTTCAAAATAGCTGAAGTGCTTTCTGTTATCTGCAAGGTGTCATCTATAAGTGAACTATACCTTTTATAGTTTATATTTTGTCTTCTGATATAACTTATTCAGTTGTTTTGTGTTGAATTTCGTATTTCCTTCCTAGATGTCACAGCATATTTATTTGTATCCTCCAGTGGATGAGCACCTGATAGCTGATAAATAAAAGAATATCATCACATATATTACTTGCTGAAGGAAACTTGCACTCATAGTCCTCTTTCCTTCTGGTCTCAGTCGTCTCACTCCGCTTCAGCTTTCTTTTACTTCCTCTGGCCTCACTCTCTTACCTCATATACAAATAACTAGGCCAGTCTTAGGAATTAGCAGATTTTCATCCTGTAGCGCAGTGATTCTCTACTCTCCTACTTATTTATCTGTCACCCTACCCATGTAAGCTTTACTTTTTGATAAAATGGGCCCACACACCTGCAGAAGTGCATATGGATATGCCTACTCTTGGCTCACAGTTCTGACAAAGGCAAAGGGAGCTATACTTTAAGCTGTATTCAATGCAACATGCTGATGTCAGTAGGAATTTAAAGATTCTATTGTGTGTGCTGTGTGCTCAGTCATGTCCAACTCTTTGCGATCCCAAGCCTGCCAGGCTCCTTTGTCCATGGAATTTTCCAGGCAAGAATACTGGAGTAGGTTGTCAGTTCCTACTCCAGGGGATCTCCCTGATTCAAGGATTAACACATGTCTCCTGTATTGACAGGCAGATTCTTTACCACTGCGCCACCTGTGAAGCCCCATATTGATTCATATAATTACCTTATTTGGTTATAGAAGGAAGATAACACTTCAAAACAATGATTTTTTTTTTTTTTATATTTTCAGCTCATGAGGCAACCACTTATCGAACTTTTTCACCTTTTCAATTTAAGTGTCAAATTGCCATAGAATGGTTGGTGCTGAATTCTTCGGCAACTTCTCACATAGTGCAGGAGGATCAGCTTCAATAACACTATCAAACTGGTCATTGTCAACTTCTGGTGGCCGGCCACTATGCTCCTCATATTCCAGGCTCTCGTTTCCTTTGCAAAACTTCTGGAACCACCACTACACTGTACATTTGTTAGAAGTTCTGGGCCAAATGCATTGTTGATGATACAAATGGTCTCCTCTGCTTTACCACCTATCTTTAACTGGAATAAAAAAAATCGCTTGAATTTCCTTTTTGCCTAACATCACCTCTATAGTCTAAAATATAAAATAAGCAACAAGTAATAAACCTTTAACAAAAAACATAAAGTGAGGAAATGCACATTAAAATGATGTTCAACATAACCACACTCTTTTAAAAATAACCATATGGTAGTTTTATTTTTAGTTTTTTATTTTTTTAGTTTTTAAAAGAATCTGCATACTGTTCTCCAGAGTGACTGCACCAATTTACATTCCGAACAACAGTGTAAGAGTGTTCTCCATACCTTGTCCAGTATTTATTATTTGTAGGCTTGTTGATGATGGAATACTTCAGTAACAGTGGTCTAGGAAGGCCTATGAGGAGGTGATATTTTACATAAAGCCTGAATGATGAGAAGCTATACAGTCATGCCAAATAAAATGCAGTGACTGAAAAGCACAGGTTCTGGACCCACTTTGGAGCTAGTGCCTGCTGTGTAAACTCAGGGAAGTTTACTCTTTCCGTGTCTGTCTTCTCATTTGTAAAATGAGGCTCGTAACTGAACTTCCTCCATTGCATTGGTTTGAAGATAAGTAAATAGAAGTACTTGATCAGTACTCAGCACAGAGTAAGGGTTCTAACTTACTTAAAGGATTATTTTTGCTTTTGTATAAGGCAAAGTTTTACAAGCAAAACACATACTAAGCACAGGAGCTTGTAGTGAGAACTAGAGCAGCATGTTACATGAAGAAGGCTGATAATGCTGGAAGTAAAGTAAAGCTTGTAGTATAATTATTCCAGTTTAGACATTTATACTGGGCTTCCCTGGTGGCTCAGCTGGTAAAGAATCTGCATGCAATGCAGGAGCCCTGGGTTTGACCCCTGGGTTGGGAAGATCCTTTGGAGAAGGGAACAGCTACCCACTCCAGTATTCCATGGACTATAGAGTCCATGGGGTCACAAAGAGTTGGACACGATTAAGGAAATGAATCCATATGGGAATAATTAGGGGGATGTTCATTGCAATGTTGTTTATAACAGAAAAAATTGAAAAAAACCCAGCATGTTAAAAAAATAGAGTTGGATAGAATAAAATGTCCTCATGATGCAAAATATTGTAGCTAAAAAAATGGCATGGGATATTTTTATTGATAGTATAACTCATATTACACTATTGAGTAAAAAGCAGTTTGTAAATAAGTAATTACAAAAGTGATGTACAGCATGATCCCATAAAATACAGGAATATGTGACATATGTGTACTTTTTTCAAAGAGATAAAAGAAGGAAGTGTTAGTAATTTTCAGACTTCAGGAATGAGAGTAGATAGATCAAATATTAATAAAATGAAGGTTTAATAACCCAATAGTGTTTGAGAGAGCTAGGCAGCTATTTCTTTAACCTGATTCTTACATTTTGTACTTGTGATATTATGCTGAGGCAGAATAACAATGAACATCAAAATTGTTATTCTGCCTTGGTGTAATATGGTTTTCCTTTTTCCCTGTTGTTTATTGCCAGGTTCTTTTGAGACCCAGAAGCCTCTGTGAGTTGGGCTGGTTTAGACCCCATAAATGTATACATAGGTAAACATGCTATATTAAAATATGAAATTTAGATAAATTAATATTTCTAATTTATAACAGAGTATGCACAAATGGCATCTGTGGTCTATTTGATATTAAAAAATCTGAAGCCTCAAACAGCGAGGCAAAGCTTCTGGATCAAAACAACTTGATCAACCTTGCCTTTTGCTGTACAGGTTGTCATGGTAACAGGAGGGCGCAGAACTGAGAGCATACTAAAGCAGTTATTATGACTCTACATGAAACATATTTGACATTTGGAGCATTTCCCTTTTGGTTCATGATTAGACTGAAATGTCCCCATGGTGGGCTGAGATCATGTGGCCAATAATAATCTGAAAAGAAAAATATCTAGAGATACAGACACAAAGTAGAAGTATTTATCTAGGAGTGGATGTATTGCAAGCATTTGTGTCTCTTCCGCCTCCCTCTGGTCCTCCTCCATTTTTTTCTTACCTAATATTTTCTTTTTTTTAAATTTATTTTTAATTGGAGTGTAATTGCTTTAGTTTTTCCTGTAACAAAGTGAAGCAGATGTATGCATACATATATCCCCTCCCACCCCACCCCTCTAGATCATCACAGAGCACAGAGCTGAACTCCCTGTGTTATACGGCAGCTTCCCACTAGCTAGCTATTTACACGTTTGCTTCATATTTTCCTCTGTTTTTCTACTTAATGAATGCTGTGTTGCTTGTTTCCTAGATTCCCCCCTAAATGAAAATACTACTGTGCTCCCGTCACTCTCCTCTTTAAAACGCTTCATTGTTTTCTCCTCACCGTCTACAAAGACGACGTCCTTAGCTTGGTCATAAAGCTCTCTGATGTCCTACCCATGCTTCCCCATCAGCACCCACTTCTCCAGCATCAGGACCAGATATCCCCACCTAGCACTTTTGTTCTCAAACGTCTTATAGTTTGTAAAACACAACATGTTCTTTTAGGCATGCCTGTCATGTGTTCAGTCTGTTTCCTGAATCTTAACAAGTGCCTGCATTTCCTGTCTGATGCACAATCAGCTGTCTTATGTTCTCTTTTTGATATCAAAGGAACAGGAGCTCATCTCATTCATCTTTGTTTCCCTAGATTCTGACACAGCCCCTGGAATACAGTTGATGCCTGATTAACATTGCTAATGTAAGCTGAGCTAAGGGAGATTGTTTTACTTTTTAGATTCCACATATAAATGACAATACAGTGTATTTGTCTTTGACTTACTTCACTAAGCATAATACTCTCTTGGTCCATCCACATTGTTGCAAATGGCAGAATTTCATGCTTTTCTGTGGCTGAGTAGTAGTCCATTATGTGTGTGTGTGTGTGTGTGTGTGTGTGTGTATACATACCCGGCATCTTTATCCATTCATCTATTGATGGACATTTACATTGCTTCTACATCTTGGCTATTGTAAATAATGCTGGTATGATCATTTGGGTGCATGTATCTTTTTGAATTAGTTTTTATTTTCTTCAGGTCATATGGCTATTCTATTTTTAGTTTTTTGAAGCAGCTCCATGTTGTGTTCCATAGCATGTGTTAGTCACTCAGTCATGTCCAACATTTTGTGACCCCATGGGCTGTAGCCCACCATGCTCCTCTGTTCATGAGGTTCTCCAGTCAAGAATACTGAGTTTCCATTTCCTTCTCCAGGAGATCTTCCTAACCCAGGGATCAAACCTGGGCCCCCGGCATTGCAGGTGGATTCTTTGCCACCTGAGCCGTCACAGTTCCATAGTGGTTGTACCAATTTACGAGACACCA